GAAGACTCTATGGCCTCTATGTGGCTTCTGAAAGGCAAGCCTCTGCCAGGCCCTTTCCTTGGGATGTCCAGTCTGACCCAAAAAAAGACAAGGTGGGAGCTAGCGGGAAAAACCTTCTGAGCACCTGTGGGTGGAACAGGTGTATCTAGAAAGGGAAGACAAGCACTCAATGCCATGGAGTGGGGACACCTGGGGCAATGACATCAGAGAAGGCTTTCTGGAGGAAGGGTAGTTTCTGTCTGAAATTCAAAAAGTGACAAGGTAGAGGATAAGAAGTATCTCTGGCCTCTGTCCCTCAGCTCCCTTGACACCTTCCCAGAACTCAACCACTGTTGTCACTCCTTGCGCATCCTTGCAAAGACAATTAGATAACTTTTTTCACTGTCCCGCACATTTCTTTGTTCATTTAACATTCCCCTTAACATCCTTTAGAGCCTTCTATTTCAGCACAAGGACAGCGCCCTCATCAAGTTTTTTTTGTTTTGTTTTGTTTTTAGGGTTTCTTTTTTTTTTGCAGCTGCTCAATACTCCACTGGGTGCCTCTCCATGGTGGACTAGTCAGGGCCCTGCTAGCAGGCATTTGAGTCACTCCAGTATTTTTCAGTGACAGTGAAAGTCTATGTGCAAATATCACTCCAGACAGATGCATGGGCATCTGAAGAAGATATCTCTGGAGGGGGCTGAGTAGGGCAAAAGGCCTGTGTGCCTGAATGCAGACAGGTACACCAAATCACCCTCTACACAAGGGGACCTCTTTCCCCTGGGAGAAAGGGATGAACAAGGGTGACGCTTGTGTGGGGAGGATGGGGTAACAAGGGTACCTTATGGGATGATGGGAGCAGAGACAGGGAGCCAAGATGACCTTGAAGGGGGAGGGAAAGAGGGGACATGGGTAAAGTGGAGATTCCCAGGGGTGCTGTGATGAGTAAGTAGCATGAATGCACACACCATGCCTGGAAGCCCCAGAGCCATAGGTCATGCAGGGCAGGTCCCACAAAGAAACAGAGGCCATGACTCCATCTGGCCCAGCAGTCAAGCTCCCAGGTTGAGGACATAGTGTTCCTGGGCTCCAGTCCTGCCCTGCCAGTAGTTTATGGAGTCACATGGTCTCTTTCATCCTTGGTCTCCTCATCAGTCAAGCAGGACAATCATATAAAAACAATGACTCCCCTGACCTCTGGGTGGTCTCTCCATGGCCCAGCAGCCCCGTGTGAACTAGATTAACAGGTGCTAAATGAGCGTGACTTCTCAGTGCAAAGAACCTGTGGCAGAACTCAGCACCATCCCCCAGGGTTGTGGGACTTTGCACAGCCAGTTGTCTCATCTGGCAAGTGGGATGAGAACCTAGCCCCTGTGGGATTCACGTCTGCATGCACCCAGCCTGTAGGGGCTGTGGATGAGGCAGGGAGACTGGGAGGGGACAGGGAGAGCCTGCAAGGAGGGTGAGGCCAACCTTCCAGACTTCCCTTCCCTCCCATGAGCAGCCAAGGCCAGCTGGCAGGTTTTGATAAATGAAAATTATAAACAACAAACACCCTGATACTGGGCTCAGGGCTCTGCTGGAGGCTGTGGTTCCCTCAGGGAGGCTTGGCTGGATGGACCTGAGCAGTGACTTGAGCTGCGGGTTTGGGTCACCCCAAGGCTCTGTGGGCAGGTGCCACTGGCTGTTCTGGGCTGGGGAGCACATGTCCTAGCCAGGAGGACACAATGGAGCAATAAAATAACAATGGTGATAATGATAATGGTAAGAGCAATCCCTCACTGGGTGTTAATGACCTTGTTTAATGCTCAAAGCACCCAGAGAAAAAAATATTTGCAAAACACAGCTGAGAAAAAGGACTTCTAGTCTGAATATGAGACAAACTCTTACCTCCTGAAATGAGCTCTCACCCACTGCTGTGGGAATGGGAAATGGTACCACCACTCTGGAAAACAGCTTCTCAGTTCCTTATGAAGTTCAAAATACACCTATGGATTACTCAGCTGTTCCCAACAGAACTGATAACTATGTTTATACACACACACACACACACACACACACACACACACACACTACACACCAGTGACCAAATGTTAATAAAACTTCAAAGAAAAAAACCTGAAAAGAACCTAAATATCCATGAACTTGACAATGGATAAGCAAATGATCTATCAGTGGAATACTATTCAGTTACAAAAAAGGGATGAACATGCAGGGATGTAGATGGGTCTCAGATGTGTTTTGTTCACCAGTGGTGAGGAGGGCTGGGCAAAAAATAGAGAAGCCTGGAAGTAAAGGGGATGCTGTCTGTGATAAGGGTGAAGGATTCACAACCTATACATTTGTCAAAGGCCATCAAACCGCACTTTGATGGGTGGATTTCACAGCATGTAAATATAACTCATTAAAATCAGAAAGGAGCAGGGGAAAAAGAGGCATTAAACAGAGGCAGGGACAACAGCTGGAGAACCTGAGGTTTCAGGGACTGCAGGGACAAAGAGATAGTGACAGAACCTGCCTTGCAGGGCTTGGGGCAGGAGCCTTCTCACGGGCCTCTCATTAACTGCTCACCCCCAAAGCAGCCCAGAGAGGTCAGTGAGTGCCCTGTGGTCACAGAGCAAAGCCCGAGGCAGAGCCAAGCCTGCTGATTTAAAGCCAGTGCTCTTGCTCTGGACAGAGAGGGGGACAGGAGGACAGAAACTAGCTTCCCCTCCCCAGCTCCATGTGTGGCTCAGGGAGGCGCTCCTGCTCTTTGGACCTCAGTTTCCACCTCTGTAAAATGTAGCTATAACAAAATGACCCGTAGGGGGACTGGTCTAGGAAGAGTAGATAGTGTTGCCAGCCTGAACTCTTCCTGCACACTGGGTGAGGGATGTGGAATGATGGAGGAAAATCATCAGGGAGAGAGGACCCTCTCTCTGCCTCTCTGGGCCTCAGTTTCCCCACCTTGCAGACAGAGCACATTGAGCTGAAGGACAGGCTACACATGGAGGTTGTTTCTAGCACCCATGTATGTTTTTGTTCACCACCATGGTCATTTTTTTCCTTTTCCCCGAATTTTTATTATGGTCATGTGCTCAGCTGCCTGCCTTTCTACTACGCGCAGCCTTTGAAAGTCAGTTCCTGACATTGTGACCTTTCGTCCCCGGTCCTTCAGCATGCATTCCCCCAAGAACAAGGATGCTCCCAAACTACTATGTGGTATCCCACTCAGGAAAAACTGTAATCTCACACACAGCTACTGCACGACCCACTTTCATGTACCCAGTTGTCCTCAAAGTGTCTTCTCTGGCTGGGATTTTTGTTTCAAACCAAGATCTAATCAAGGTCCATACGTTATACCGATTTTAAGTCTTTTGTGGGTAGGTGAGAGATTTTTAATTTTGAAACCATTTATATCTCTGGACAAACAGTCGGAATCATACAATGAATGTGCACACAACCTTCACCAGAATTCATCAATGAACACTTGGTCAGACTCTCCCTTCCTCTCTCTGCCTGCCTCTTCCAGCCATGTAAGTCACCAGCAGACACATGGAAGTGTTTTGTCATCAGTGGCCATCACGTGAACATGAGGGAGTCTCACCCTATAGTTTGGTTTCCAGCCCCTAATGACAATGCAGGTGACTTGGAGCAAGGTCTCCCTCATGGCATAGCCATGGTGAGTAGCCACCCCTTGGAGAGGGCAGGCAGTCATACTTTGCCACACTCCACAGCACTTCCTCTTGTTTGACACCCAGCCTGTCTCCCTCAATCACATAGCCTGCCTGGGCCTGCATCAACAGCATTTTCTAGCCTCAATCTAATCTCAGTGATCTTGGGGTGCCTCCTGGTCTTCCCAGGAGGAGGCCACCTTCATCCTTGGGGAGGAACCTGTTGGTCAGGCCTATGCCAGTGGCTTGACAATGCAATAATTTTCTAGCTGTTTGTCCTCAGCTCAGGGTGTCAGATTCTGTACTCAGCTTCACTAGGGTTGTTCCCAGCTCCATGAGCTAACACCCAGAGACCAGTGGAAAGTTTTCAGGCTCTCGTTTAGGTGGTGCCTGTTCCTGAAGGGATCTCAGGGCATGTGGACAGAACATGTGGTCGAAAGATATTCATCCTAATGCTGTGACAGGGGTGCCCAATAGCAAGGAGCTGGTCAGACAGTGCATTCAGAAGAGGAAAGACACACAGTGAGATGAAGAGGCTATAATTACACAACATCCAGGCAGCCAGCTGTCAGGCCTGTTTGGAAGAGAATGGTGGGGTCCTGCCAGCCATTGATGGTCAGACATCATTACTCAAGGACCACTGTACAGATGCTGCAAAGTGAAGACGCCAAGAGTGCTGGGACAGGCAGATCTCCAGGAAAGAGAGCCACATGGCAGGCTTCACTTTAGATGTTGGGTTAAAATGGGGAAAGAATATAGATTTTCATTTAGTTGTATTTATGTGTGGAAAACTCCAGAAGAATTCATAAGAAATAGGAAAAAATGTTCCTTTGTGTATGATTGGGGAGACTGGGCAGATGACTGAGAGGGACAAGAGGCAGATTACCCTCAGGACCTAAATCTGCTGTGTGTCCTTTTTGTCCATAGGTCTACACTGTTGTATCCAATTGGCGATGGGCCAAAGATGAGAGTTTGAGGGTAGAGGCCTTACATAGCACTTGTAAGTCCCTGGGTCTATCCCAACTCATGTATACACACACACACTCACCTAAACACTGCACCTATGTTGAACACCTACAGACTTTCGACATTATCTTCTAAACAATACAGTGTAACAGCCATCCATACAGCATTGATGTTGTAGTAGAAGTTGTTAGAAGTCACCTAGAGATCATGTAAAGTTATGGGAGGGTCATGTGCAAATACTAAGCCATTTCATATAAGACACTCGAGCAAGCATTCATGGATTATGGTATCTGCAGAGGTCCTGCCAGTCCCTTACAAATACGGAAGGACAATTACATTCTGTTTTATTTCATCTTTAATTTTTGGTGGTATTGGGGACTGTTTTTTTTGTTGTTGTTGTTTGAAATGTGCCTGTGTTACTGCATTAGTCAGCTTTCTGTCACTATAACAAAATACCTGAGATAACAAACTTGTAGAGATTTATTTTGGTTCAGTTTTGGAGATTCCAAGCTATGATTGGTTGGCTTCATCATTTTGGCCTATGGGAAGGCAGCACATCATGGTGGGTACAATGTAGAGAAGGGAAACCATCCACCTCATGGCTAGGAAACAAAAAGAGAGAGAATGAGGAAAAGACTGGGGTCCCATGATCCCCTTCAGGATTACACACCCTATGACCTAACTTCCTCCCACTAGGCCCTCCTCCTAAAGGTCCTCTCACCTCCCGATAGCACCAAGCTGGGAACCAAGTCTTCAACACACGGGCCCTTGAGGAATAATTAACAGCCAAATGGTAGAAATTGCATAATCAAAGTTATATTGAAAAGCATTTGTATAGAATGAATCTGTGGTCTCCTACATATTAAATAGGAAAATGCTCCCAGTATATTGTTAAACTGAAAAAAAGCAATCTACAAGACAGCTAATGTGACTTCATAGCTAGCATTGGTGGCTCACACCTATAATCTTAGCTACTGAGGAGGCAGCAATCAGAAAGACCATGGTTTGAAGCCAGCCTGGACAAATAGCTTGCGATACACTATCTCAAAAATACCCAACACCATTGCTTCTCGGCCTTTTGGCTAAGATCAAGTGTAGTATCTGTTCTTATCAGTTTAATATCTGATACATCCTCTATTCGAGGACAATATATTAAATGGATTTTTGGAACAGGGAGATGGAATAGGAGCTTGCTCCATCCACTCCACGCATTGATCTGGTATTGCAGCACCTCCAGGAACGGTGCACCAAAAAAAAAAAAAAATACCCAACACCAAACAGGGGTGCAGGAGTGGCTCAAGTGGTAGAGTGCCTGCCTAGCAAGTGTGTGGCCCTGAGTTCAAAACCCAGTACCACCAAAAAAAAAAAAAAGGTGACTTCATTATGTTTTTTGGGGGGAAACACTTACTATGTGAGCAGGGACTTCCTCTGCCTTATTCACTATGGTGTTCCCAGAATCTAGCCACATAGAAGCTGCTCAAGAAATGTTGGCTGAGTGACTGAATAAATGACTGACTACAAGATCAGGAAGCCATCTCAGGTCACTCAGCCAAACTGAACAGTGGTGGATTCAGAAGGTGGATTTGGGAGGGATTCTATCTTCTTGATGTTTTCCCATTTATTCTGAACTTTAAAATGAGCACCTCTCATGCTTCTAATCAGAAAAAGAGACAGTAAAGGCATTAAAAGGAAAGTCTGTGGGTGTCTAGGAGGGTCAGGCCCAGGGCTCACTAGAAGAATGCTAGTCTGGTAATCAGGACCAGTCTCCACCATCCCACCCACACTCATTTCAGGCAGGCCTGTGGGGCCGAGCTTCCAGTGGGACAGCCAGGGTGGGCAGCTTGGGGAGCAGAGAAAGCCAGGCCTGTGAGAACCTGGTGAAGGGAAGATGAGGCCCAGTGAGCAGGCCCAACACAGATGAGCTAGGCCTGTGCAGGCCCCAGCTCCAAGGTAGTTTACTTACTCATGTTCCTTAGCTCTGTCTCACAGATGGGGAAACTGAGGCCCCAGGGTGTGGGCTAGAGGCTTTGGGGACAAATAGACAAGAGGGCCAATCCCAGACTTGTCACTAAACTCTTGTAGGCACCTCTCCCTAGCAGAGATTTGGCTCCCATCTCATACAGGTGTGACAGGGTCTGTGCCAACCCACAAGTGACCTGCACAAGGCAGATGGAGGTTCCCAGCTGGTGGCAGCAGCTGGCTTTTAGGATGCTGGGTCAAGCCTAACTACCTCCCTGGAGTTAGTGTCCCCTTGTACCAGAGGGTAAGAAAACCCACAGACATCTACAGAGCCCCTCAGAGAGCCACAGAAACTTCTCACTTTTGGGGTCAGATCAAGGAGGGGCTGAGTGTGAATCTGACTCTGCTTCCTAAAGCATCAATGTGAGATAGCAGGCATCAGCCATGTTGTCACTGCGTGTTGGACTAGTAAGCCCTTGCCTTCTAGGCCCACACCCCTGCATTGGGCAGAGGGATCCTCAAAATCGAGGCCATTATACCTTTCCCTGGAATCCTGTGTAGCCACAAAAGGCCAAAGTGCCAACCTGCACAGCAACCTGGGTGAATAGCAAAGGCACAATGCAGAGTGAGGAAAGCCAGGCTGGAAGGCACATACCGCACAGTTCCTGCGTGACGCTCTGGGAAAGAAAAAAGGACAGGGACAAGAAACAGGTGTGTGTGCTGGGTGGGGTGAGGGGGGTTTTTGAAGGGAATGCAGGTCCAGGAGATGCGCTATTTCCCAGCTGGGTAGTGGCGGAGGCTCAGTGGCCAGATGTGTTTGTTACATCTGCAAAATTACACTCAAAGGAGGAATTTTCACTGTGTGTAAATGCTCCTTTAAATGAAAAACTAAAATTCAACCATGATACAGGTACATGGATGTGTTTTACTATTCTATTTACTTATGTTTGTGATTTTTTCCAAAATTAAAAAAACAGCCAGGTGCCGGTGGCTTTATGCCTAGGATTCTAACTATTCAGGAAGCAGAGATCAGGAGGATCCCAGTTCAAAGCCAGACAGGGCAAATAGTGTGTGAGACCTATCTCGAAAAATTCCTTCATAAAAAAATGCTAGTGGAGTGGCTCACAGTGTAGGCCCTGAGTCCAAACTCCAGTACCACAGAAAGAAAAAACCTAAGATCATAGCCCCAAACTCTGAGGTCCAGAAAGGGCCTGTGTTATAAGCCAATGCCTGTGGTTCTAAACTCTTCCATCTCATAGTGACACTGTGGTGAAGGTGATAGCCTTGGGTTCCACAGACTCCCAGCTTAGAGTCAAAGCCAAAGTGCTCTCAATCTGTCCTTACTCTTGGCCTTATTCTTACCCCTAGGCATGCTCTGCCCCAGTCACACTGGCCTCCCTGGGTTCTTTAATCATGCCCCAGGATCTCTGCACTAGCTATTCCCTCTGCCTGAACTGCTCTTCCCCAAAGCACTCATTCACCTGCTTCAAGTCTTTCATAAAAAGACCCATGTCAGCCAGGCACCGGTGGCTCATACCTATAATCCTAGGCTACTCGGGAGGCAGAGATCAGGAAGATCACAGTTCAAGGCCAGCCCCAGGCAAATGCTTCAGGAGACCCTATTTAGAAAAAAAGACTCTTCGAAAAAAGGGCTGGTCGAGTGGCTCAAGGTGTAGGCCCTGAGTTCAGACTCCAGTACTACCAGAAAAAAAAAAAAAAAAAAAAGACCCCCATCTCCGTTCTGGCCATCGTGTCTGAAACCATGACTGCCTTCAAGAGTACGCTCACCCCCTACCTGGCTGACTCTCCCTTGGGGCATTTATCTCCATCTGACTGACCTTGTATTTCTTTCTTTCTTTGCTTATTGCCTCTCTGTCCACTAGAACAGTGCACTCCTGAAGGCCAGGGAGTCCTGTTTTATTCATTGTTACATCACTTTAGAACAGTGCCTGGCACACAGTAGGTGCTCAATACATGCTTGATGAATTAAAGACTGCCTGAATAAATCATATTCCATGCCTATCACCTGGTCCCCATGTGGGGCTCAGCCACGGGGGCTTTTAGCACACATTCATCCAACCACCTCAGCAAAGGTTAATTGCTCACTTTTTTCTTATTTATCCTTGTTCCAAAAAGGATTTCTACAGGCTTAAAAACCACAAGCAAGAGCCATTTAAAAGTAGGGGAGAAGGCTGGGGGCATGGCTTAAGTGGTAGAGTGCCTGCCCAGCAGGTATGAATCCCTGAGTTGAAACCCCACAACCACGGAAAAAAAGAAAGAAAGGAAGGAAGGAAGGAAACAAAAAAGTAGGGGAGAAAGATGGAGCCAAAGACAAGAACGAACCTGCTCTTATGCGGACCTGCCAGGAGCTGGGCCCTGCCAGAGACTGCTCCAACAGGGATCTCCCCTGGGTCCAGGCTGGAAGGGGACAGACACTGTGTCAGTAAGGGTGACTTCCAAAGGACGTAATGTTTGGGCAGAAGCACATGCAAAGGCCCAGGGGTGGGCAACAGTATGGCCTCTTCAAGAAATTTCAAGGAACATGTTCTAACCTCCCCATTCCATGAAAGTTCTTTTAAGCAGAGAAGTCACCTGAGACACCCAACAAGGTCTTATCTTCCTTGCTCAGGATCTCAGCCTGCTCTGACTCAGCTAAGTGCAAGGCCCTCTGACCCCAGGATCTCTTTCTGTTTCCTTGATAATGACTCATCTCCAGCCTTGTTTTATTTCCAACCCTCATCCCCAAATACAACACACACTTGGTTTGTTTTTTTAAAAAATTGTCTACTGGGACAGGATATTGTCAATAAATATATTTGACCAAGGACTCAAAGCCAAACAATAAAAAGAACTCCAATAAATAAAAAAAAATAATAATAATGGGCACTAAACCGTTCACAAAAATGGGTATCCAGGTGACCCAGCAGCAGAGGAAAAAGTCTCAAGGCTGGCAGTCTTCAGGCAGTTGGGCTGCAGTTAAACACTCTTCACACTCAGCAAAACGGTGAAAATGAAAAAGACTGAACACCCATTGAAACTTGAAAATGGTTTGTAGCAGTGAAAATGGTACCAACACTTTGGGGAAAAGTCTGGTAGTTTTTCACAAAACTAAAGATACACTTACATAGGATTCATTGATCCATTCCTGGTAGCTACCCTGGGGGAGTATTACAACGCAGACTCTACAAGATGTGTCCAAGATTGTCCCAAATGCATGCCTGTCAACAGCAGAACAGGTAAAATGATCTGTGCACACAATGGACGACTCAGTGATTAAAAAGATACAACTACATGGGCCAACACGGGTCAAATGCCAAAAAAAGAAACTGAACACTAACAAAGTGAGGATAGTCTGATTCTACACGTAGAATGTTCTATAAAAAAAGGCTAAAAGTCAGGACTAGTGGTTGCCTCAAACGGTGGATAGTGACTGAAAACGGCCCTATGGAACAAGTGTTCTCTACCTCCAGAACATGTATGTGAACAGAATATTTGCCTATTAATTAACGAAATAGTAAAAGTAACCCGTAGTCATGCAATTCAGTGTCCACAGGATAGAAGCGAGCAAAGCTTCAGGCACAAAAATGGTTTGGATTTGAAGTTGTGCCTGGGGGACTTGGTCAAGTTCCCTTTCAAATTACCACCCTGAACTCCAAGAGTCCTGTGTCCTCAAGGGAGCCCTGCCTCTTTCTGGGACTTCCATTTGTGGAGTGGATTGGGCGGTGGCCACTCTTGTGGGGAGAGGCATCGTGGCTTTTCAAATTCTCCTTTCTGAGGTTTTCTGCTTTCCAGAGAGGCTCTGGTTCCCCTGGTATCTCCAACCCCAGGGACCTCGCCCTTCTGCCTTTCTTTGAGAGAGGTGGCATTTACCCCCATCCCAAACAAATCTTCTTAGAAATAACCCGTCCCCAGCAGTTCCTGGTGACGGAACTGGTCACCTGGTGGGTGGGCCCCACAGCACCAATCCCTGCAGGGTCCCAACTTCTTGTGACATTAGGTATGTCTTTCACTGCCTAGGGCCTCGATTTTTTCATCTGTAAAATGGAGCCAGGCATATCTACGTCTCAGGCTTGTGGTGAGAATTTCCACTAAGCACAGTGAGTCTTTACCGAGAGTGGCAATTTACAGACCGTGCACACAGCAAATGTTTAATGATGGCAGTCGTGGGGACGATTAGCATTTCCCTACATCTTCTTGAAAAGAATCTGTTTTGGTGAGCTGGGGTCCTAAAGTTGCTTCTCCGGCAAACGCAAGGGAAGAGCAGCGCCGAGAGTCTGGGCAGCGCGTTGTTTTGTTGGGGCTGCGAATGGAACGCGGCCAGCGAGGCGCGCGGCCCCTTTAAGAGGCGATAGGAATGTATCAAAACAGAAATGCCGCGCGCCCACTGGCCGCGCGCCGCACGTGACTCACAGCTGATTTCCTGCCCTCCCCCCCCCCACCTTTTTGTTGCTCCGCCGCCGCCGGGTGTCAGTTTCTGCGCCGCCGCCTGCGGTCTCCAGGCCGTGTCCCGCCGTCGCTCTCGCCGCCGATCGCCCCGCGCCGCGTCCAGGGCCGCAGCCCGCGCGATGGCGCACTCGGGGGCTGCAGTGCCTCTGGGCGCGCTGGAGCAGGGCTGCCCCATCCGCGTGGAGCACGACCGCCGGCGCCGCCAGTTCACCGTGCGGCTCAACGGTAACTCGGCGCCCGCCACCCCCGCCTTTTGTTTGTGAGCGAGTGAGCGGGGCCGCCCCCGCCCCAGCTCAGGGATTGGCCGCCGGTGGGCGCGGGCGGCGCGCGGGGACGCAGGGGGGCTTCCCGGGACAGGACGCGCGCGCTGTGCTAGGCCCCCGAAGGGCCGGCGCGCGGGCGAAGAGCCCTGGAGAGGCGGGAGCGTCCGCTGCCCCAGACGCAGGCGACTGGCACCTGCTGGGCCGGCTGGTTTCCGGTGTTGGGCGCCGCGGAGGCCTGAAGAGCGGGTCACCTGTGACTTACCCCTTCCCTCCGGGGTTCAGTGGCTTATTGCTGCCCCTGCGAACCCTAGCTTTTGTACCCTGGAGACATTGAGGATCCTCCGGGTAGACCTGGGGCTGACAGTGAAAGGGGCTTCCGTCCCTGGTGCGGGGAGAGGGCGGTTGCTGGCTCTGAGACTTTGGCCAATTTGCCTAGTCTCTGGGTGCCTCAGTTTCCCCTTCTCTTCAGTGGGAATAGCACCAGTGCACGTTGCATTGGGTGGCTGTAAAGATGAAACGCTGTGATGGGTGTAAATCATTCATGCGATACAGAGCAAGTACTGAGAAACATAGACTGATCGTTATTTTTTAAACCACAAAGGGAGGTCAAGTCCTCATTTCCCATAGAGTTTTTACCAGCCCACACTTCCTTCCCCCAGAAGGTCTGAGGGGGTCAAAATATAAACAAGGACTATTAGCTCTCTGTATCCACTCCTCCCAGCCCAGTTCTCTGGGGGAATGTCCAAGATTCTAGAGGCCACTGTGCCCATTTCTGAGAATGAAGGTAGAGGCCCAGGAAGAGGAGAGGCTTGTGGGGTCAGTAGGAGATTTGGAGCAGAGCTGGGTTAGCGTCCCCCTTGGTCTGACTTCAGGGCTTCTGCCATGGCCACTTGGTGAAAGTCAGAAGGGGGTTGGGACTCCCATTTGGACAGCCTGGGCATGGAGCAGCTTCCCACCACTTCCACAGTGTCAGGGCTGCAACTGTCACAACATCCCTATGATGTGTGTGACACACTACCCTACATTACGGATGAGTAAACTGAGACTGAGGCTGTATGAAGTGACTTACCCACCATCATCAAGGCCAGAGTCAGATTTAAACCTGGTCCTGGCTGACCCTCCAGTGTTCTTTCCTCATAGAAGCAAGTCCTGCTGTGGCACTTACAGTGGCCAGGCTGGCAGTGACACTCAGGGCCCTGGCCAGTCTTGTGGGGGAGAGGCCTCATGGCTTTTCAAATTCTCTTTTCTGAGGTTTTGTGAGTTCTAGGGAAGCTGGTTCCCTGGGTGGCTCAGGAGACAGACAGAAAGGGCCTTTTTGTTTCTTCGTTTTCTTCCGCATGGGTATAGCCAAAGGACAGCCCTCCAGAGTTGGCTGTGACCAGACCATAGCTTTAAACTTGTCCCTTATGGAACCTGGTGCCCTGTATAGCTAACTACAAATATGGCCAGTATCCTCCCCAGGTCCCTGAGCAGGTGCAATACAGCCCCAGGCGGACCCTCCCAGACTTCCAGGCCAGGCTGGTTCAGGCATGTATCAAGACAGGTAGTCTTTCTGACCAGGCCTGATGAGCTGGGCAGGGAACAGGTGCTGGTAGGGTCTCCTGCCTGTAAGGAGGCCTGGAGGCATCTGGCTTCACTCAGGAGCACCTTAGGGCTGTCATTCCCTAGCTTCCCATAGGCCTGTGCCCCCATCCCCGAGGCAGAGTAGGCTGATTATAGTTCTGAAGATGGGAAGATGTTTGAGCAGCTGTGTTTGTTAACTCTTGTGAAGGAGGAGGCTCTGTGCACATGAGTCCCTTTAGTTCAGCCACATAGGATAGGAAGTGGAAACTGCTCCTCCCAGTTACAGATGAGGACACTGAGGAACAGGGAAGTGAAGTGACTCGCCCGAAGCCTTGAATCTCCAGCTGGAAGAACTGGAATTCATTGCTCTAGTATTTATTGACCTCCTACTATGTGCCAGCACTCTTCAAGGTGCTGGGGACTTGGACTGACTGTCTAGAGGGGGAGATAGGCAACAAGTAAATTATGAAGTATCTTAGAAAGTAAGGACTTAGGTGAGAGGTGAAGCAAGGAAGAGGGGAGGCTACATTGGGGAAAGGCTGCTATCTAGAATCAGGTGTCCAAGAAGACTCCCTCCTGAGAAGGTGGTATTTCAGTAAAGACCTGGATGGAGCAAGAAATAGCTACAGCAGCAAAGAGTGTTCCAAGTCCAGAGAACCACAAGAGCAAAGACCCTGTGGTGCCTAGCATGCATTCAAAGCAGCAGGGAGTGGTGCAGAAATGAGGCAAAGAGGTCATGGAAATGTGAACACTTATATGAATTTGGCTTTGGCCCCTTAGCAAGGTGGGTGCCTGGAAGGGTCCTAAGAAGAGGACAGATGGCATAGCCCAGACTCCCTCTGACTGTGCTAAGGGAAGCAGACTAGGCTGGGCAGGGAGTGTCTCGCTACTGCACTAGTTTAAGCAGTGTGGGTGGGGATGGAAAGAAATATCCCAGTCCTTGACAGATGGGACAGGAAGTGTGGATAGGATTTGCTCACCTGGGATGTGAGAGGAGGCACGAGCTCAGGCTGGTCTGACCCAAAATCCAGGTTCTGAAATACTAGCTGTCCCATCACCATTTTATAAGCAGGGAGACCAAGGCACATGGCAGGTAGGCCTCCACATGAGGCTGTCATCTGAAGGTTAGAAGGAGCTGGAAAAGGCTCCTGTCCCCCAATTAGGGCCAAGTTCTCACTTGTTGCAAGGAGAACAGTAATTCAGGGGTCCCAGAATCCTGGGGTTTTGAACACCTTCCCAACCCCCACTTTGCAGATAGGAAGACTGAGGCCCAGAGAATCTGCCCTGGACCCCCTAGTGCTCTGGAGGGTACAGAGCTGAGAGTGCAGCACTTGGCCTCATGGGGGTCAGAGCCCAGCCTCAGTGTGATGCCCCCCACTTGACCCATGGTGCCCGCCCAATAGGCAGAGCCCCCGTGCCCTGTAACATCCCATAATGCCCACTCAGAGCAGGCATCCTAAGCAGAGAGGGCGTAAGGACAGGCCAGGGTGGCCTTCTCATGCTTCCTGCTGTGTTGGACTGGGGATCTTGAGGGGACAAAGTGACCCACACTGGGCCTCTGTTTCCTCATCTGGAAATTGGGAGCAAATTGTAGCCCCCTCCTGGAGCTTGGGAGAGACTGAAGGATACTGAGGACCAGAAAGTCTCCTAACTAGAGTTGTGTCCTGTTCTGGTGTCCGATTTGCTGTTTGACTGTGGTCCAGTAGTTCGCCTCTCAGAACTACTAGTTCCTGTCAATCTTCCCCTTTGGGACAGCTAACATGGGCTGAGAACCCAGTCAGCATTTAGAAGCCAAAGCACTGGTGCTTTGAAGTTAAAACATGTAAAATATAATTTGCTTTGTCCTTTAAAGTTAAAATATATGACAGAATTTGCTTTTAAAAGGTAGAGAGACACACTTGGCGTTGACATGTTTTCTTTCAGGCCAGAGGATTGTGTCTTCCAACTTCTGGCCTGGGCCCTTTACCTGTCCTTCCTTTGCTCTTCCCTCAGACACTTGCTGCTCACTGTTCACCTCGCAGTTCAGAGGTTTTGTCCTGGGAGGCCCCATGACTACCCCTGGCATGATGCCCCTGCCTCCCCATCCCAGGACACTTCTTAGTTATTTCCTTCACACACATGCAGCTCCCTCACACTGGAAACCTTGAGTTTCATTCTCTCACTGAACACATGCAAACCACCAGAAAATCTTGCTGAGGACACCTTTAGAACAGTGTCAGTCTGATCTCTCTCTGTGTTGCCCCATTATCACTCACCAGGCCTAGTGCAGCCAACCCACTGGGCTCCCTGCTCCTCCCCTGGCTCCTCCCCACAGCGACCAGAAGGATCCTGTGAAGTCATGAGTTACCTCCTGTCCCTCCTCTGCTTAGGACCTTGCAGCAGACCTGGCTTAAAGTAGCCTAGGAGGCTCTGTGGCACCTGCCCCTCCATCACCTCCCTATACTCATCTCTGCCACCCTTCCCCCAGCTGCTCCACTCCAGCCACCCAGGCCACCTTGCTGTCCCTTATACAGGCCCACTCCTGGCCCAGAGTCTTTGCATGGCTGTTCCTGCTCCTAGACCACTTCCCCATTGACATCTTACACATCCACTTTCTTGTTTATCTTTTCTCTCCTAATCAGTTTCATGAAAGCAGATCTGCTTGTCGATCTTGTTACTTGCTATGTGCCTAGCACCTGAGCACTGCCTAGGGCTTAATAAACATTTGCTGGGTGGATGAATGTATGGATGAATGAATGAATGGATGGATGGGTAGGTGAATATACATATAAGTAGATGGGTAGATGGATGGATATGGGGAAGATGGATGGGTGAATGGGTCAATGGATGGATGAGTAGATGTACATACAAGTGGATGGGTGGATAAAGTGAATGGATGAATGGGTGGGTGAATGGATGAGTAGACAGGCAAATAGATGGGTGGAAGAGTAGATGGATAACTGGGTGGATGGATGGGTGGGTGGCAAATGAGCAGGCAGGTGAATAACTAAAAATCGTGACTGGGGGAGCTTGATTTAAATGCTTGCCAGAGGGATTTGCAGTGGACTGGTGAGTCTCTGTCCTGGCAGGCCTGGGAGGGCATGAAGACCCTTTCATTCTTGATTCCTGTGCCCAGTTTCAGTTTCTCGTGGATCCTGGCACCACAGTCCTCTGATCTTCCACTCCTCGTCTCTGCCAGAGTTCAGCAGGGATCCTGCTGCATCTGGTAGTGCTGCCTCTCCTGTCTCTTCTTCCCTGCTGTACTTATGGATTTGCAAAAGGCCCAGCACTGTGTCTCATGCTGGACCTTATGACTTGCAGACCTTGTGGGGGAAATTAGCTGGGCAAAGAGCAGTGCTGGGAAGGGTTTGTGTCCCTGGGATGCCGAGGTGGGCAACAGTAACAAGAGTCTTGTGTGTGAGCTTGTATGTCGCCTGTATTGTGCTAAACATGTCACACAGATTGCTCAATGAATCCTCCAGACAATTCTCTGGGGAACATTTGATCATATCCCCACTTTATGGATGACAATCTGAGGTACAGAGAAGTTAAAACTCAGCTCCAGTAGAACTTTATAGCCTGTCTCCAGATGCCTGTCCCTCCCTCCACCCACCCTCCACACCTGAGTCCACTGGACCCAGTTGGAGTCTGCCAGCGCTCACCAAACCGCCCAGGCCCCTGAAGTGCACACCTCAGCTGTCTTCATCCTCAACCCTCTAGGATGTCATGACCGGGCCGTCCTGCTCTACGAGTATGTGGGCAAGCGGATTGTAGACCTGCAGCACACCGAGGTCCCTGACGCCTACCGTGGGCGTGGCATCGCTAAGCACCTGGCCAAGGTAGGGTGGACAGCAGAGAGGGACACAAAGGCCACCACCCTCCCTGTCAGGAGAGGATGGGCCCAGCGGCTGACTCCGGCTTGCTTCATGGGCAGAGCACAGCCTTTCAAGCCCACCTGGCCAATGGGTTGTGGCGGGCACTGGGTGGATATTGCACAGCACTCTTCTTCCTCCCTGGTCACCTGGGGTACGTGGCCACCATTCAGGCTCCTAATTTGCAGAACATGATGCACCCAGAGCTCCTAGGTCACCACAGCCTGATTCTACCCTAGGGCCCTGGACATGGCAGGTACTGGTTGCTTAGTAAAAAGTCCTCTTGGAACACATGGGTGAATGTTCCCGTCAGTGGCCCATTCCTGCCCCCAAACCTTTCCTCCCCAAATCCCCTCAAACCCTAGGCTGCCTGGACAGCAGATTTGGGTATAAGGGCAATAACAGCTGGAGCCAAGGATGGCCTTCAGGGCTGCTGGAGGAGTTCAGCTAAGGATCTGTGCTGGCTTCCTCTCCTCCACCCCCTCCAGCCTGTGACTGCTGGCCAGGCGGGGGAAGTTGCAAAGCCTCCTCCATCTTCCTCATGGTATGGTACCTTCTGGGCTTGGGACTCATTCTCCTTCACCTAAGACCAGCCTGCTAGCTGGTCTGTGGGATCATCCTAGGTTCCCAGAGAGGAAACCCAGTCACTAACATGGGCCAATGAGAGGGTAGCCATGGAGCTGGGTACTGCGGAGAGAGCCAAGGACCACCTCCTTCTCGGGTGGGGCATCGGAGGTCCCAGAGTGGATGCTGCAGGCTCTGATGGTCGTTCTCCCTCTGCCTGGCCCCAGGCCGCCTTGGACTTTGTGGTAGAGGAGGACCTGAAGGCCCACCTCACCTGCTGGTACATCCAGAAGTACGTCAAGGAGAACCCACTGCCACAATACCTGGAGCGCCTGCAGCCGTGACCGCAGTGGGCAGGAGCACTCCCTGCCAGCCTTTCCACGTGGACTCCGCCCCTCCACGTGTCTCAGGACCCTGCTCCCATGGGGAACAGGCTCAGAGTTATTTTTGTAAGGATGTTCTGCTGCAGCCCTGCATCCATGCTCCTGAGGGCAGCTGGCAGAGGATGCCCTGTGATCCAGGACTGGAGCAAAGGGCAGGCCAGGCATCCGTGGTCCCAACAGCTCCCTCCCACAAAGACCCTCCAGCTTCCCAGATGCCTTCCACTGGGAGCACAACAGGGCCTGGGACAACAGGGTCCCTGCTCTGTGATTGTTGTCTGAGGCTGATGTGGGATCCCTGCCTCCACCTCCTGGGGCTGTGTCCTTCCTACAAATGAGGAGGATTGCTCCCCAGAGCCAAGAGGACCAACAAGAAAACTCCTGTGCCAACTTCTAGGGATGGTAATGCTGAGCCTCAGCTGCCTGCCCCCTTTTCTTTCTCAGACTCCAGTGCCCTGGCCCAGGTGGCAGAGCCACAGCAGAGGGTGATCCTCCCTGACTTGAGAGAGAAGAGTGGTAGGTGGAGCTGTGGCCCAGGCTCAACTGTACACACACACACACACACACACACACACGCACGCACGCACACACGCACGCACACACGCACGCACACACACACGCACAGAGTGTGGGGTGTGGACACACTTGAGGTGGGGGGCAGTAGCTGTCTTCCTTGCCTTGGCACACTAATCTTCTGTTGACTTCTCCTGTGTCACCTCTGCAGGAAACAATGTCCCCACCCCAGGGCCTGTCCCCTCTTCTGCCCCTGTCTGCCAGGAGCCAGCTCTGGAAGCTGCCTCAGTGGCCAGGACCTGATGAGCATCACAGTGTCCTGGCCTTCTCTGGCCCTTTTACCTCCACCTGCCTAAGCTTTCTCAGAGGGGTCTCCTTGGACCTAGGGGTAGGAGGCAGGCACACTGTCCCCAGAAAAACACCCTCATTGCCCAAGAGGAAGAAGTGAGTCACCAGAGAGATTTCCTTTGCTGCCACCAAACAGAGCATTACTCTCTGAGTGGCCACCTGTGGCCAGCACATTCTGTTGCCTGCCTTGAGTCCCAGGCTCCTCCCACACCAGTCTTCTTGGTGATAGCCTGGGAGATGCACCAAGCACAACTTGTTTCTTTGGGGACTTGTGGCTTCCCTTTAGGGACTATTCAGGGCTCATACTCTTGACCTTGTGCCCTACTCCCCTCATAGTTCTTAGTTCCTTCCTGCTCTGTGAAGCAGGGCTATAACCCAGGAATCAGAGTTCCTTTCAGATTTGAGATGTCGTTCAATAGCAAATGCTGGGGCGATGTGCCATTTGGATTTGGGGGCAAGGGGGACTGGGCCCTGGCCCTGGGAAGAGGCTACTGGGATGTCCTATGGCTCTCCCCTCCAGGGTAGGGGCTCAGGGCAGGGGGGCTGCTGGTTACCCAGTGAGCATCACGGTGTCCCTGACCCTCTCTAGCCTCTTTGCCACCACCAGCTTGGGCTTTCTCAGAGGGGTCCCCTTGGATTTGGGGGCAAGAGGGAGGCATATGCCCCCCCCCCAGTATCTCTGACATTCTTCTTTGGTGCTGGCCTGGCCTGGCCTGTAGGTGTCTTTACATTCATCCCACTCGCTCAAGTCTCTGTTCCACAATCCTTTTCTCCTCTGCCAGCCACAGCAGCTCAGGGGCCCACATTAGACATCTGCACAGATGCCTTTCCACCTGCAGTGGAACATCCAGATCTGTGCCAGGAAACCTGGCAGCCTGCTGGGGGGCCCTGAGCTCAGAGCCCCTGAGCCCTACCACTGTGAGTCCAGGCTTGGACCAGTATGGCTGCCATCCTAAGCATCCCTCACTGCCCCTGCATCCCAACCTGGCCCACAGTTCCCCCACCCCAAACCTGAGATCCACATACTTTGAGAGCAGGTGACTCCTGTGGTGACCACCTGTCCACAACATGCTTAGTACTTGAATGAAGGGACCTGGGCCTGGGAAAAGCAGCTGGGCCTTTTTCCAGTGGGCTTGCCCTGAGTTCCTGTAGAGATGACTTGGTCATCCTCTGCCTTAAAGTACCACTAGCCCCACTCCAAAGGCTCAACGAGACTCTGCTGGGCTAACCCACAGCTTCACGACAGCAGCAATAACCACGTGTCCAGACCATCCTGGAGCCCATCCCATGCCTCAGCCAACATTGCCCAACTGGTCCCTCTGGTGCTATGCCTATCTTCCTGGCCTCCTAGCCTCACCCCCTGCCCTTGTCCTGAGTCGCTCCTGGAACCTGTAGTTGGGCACTAGTCACTCTGGCCCTGGAGAAAGAAGTGCTATAACAGGGCAGAGAGACAGGTACCCCCAGCAGGTAAGGGGGTCTCCTCCTCCCCCAGTCTATATGGGCAGTGACTTACGTGCCTTTTCTACTCAGGACCTACTCCAACTGGTGTCTGGACTCCCTTGTCACTTTTCAGACTCCTGAACACACTGTGATGTACATATCGCTCTCCCCATTTTTAACTGATGAGAGACTTGAGGCACAGGGTTGGGCTAAGGAGCCCCAGAGGGAGAAAGGAGAAAGAAGCAGAGGGGCTGTACAGTGTCCCTCATTCTTCCTTCCCACATGTCCAGCCTTTTCTCTCATCATCACCAGTGTGAACGGTGCAGCCCCACTGCAGGGGAGAAGAGTGAGGCTTTAGGAGGCACTGTATTCTGGCTGAATTCTCTCAGCATGACAGAGTTGGTGGCATCGGGATCCAATCCCAGCTTGGGCAACTTTGCTGTCTGTGTTCTTTCCCAACCAGCCTGGGCCCCATGCCACATCCCATCTACACCAGCCCCCAAGCTGTGGTCCAGTCCCAATGCCACACTCCCCACTGCCTGGGCAGCAGCCTTGGAACATAAAAGTCTGCCCTTTGGGATTTCTGGTTGGTCCAGAGCAGGGAGGTGGGATCTGACCTTGCTGAACATAGGTCCAGTATCTTGCCAAGATCCACAGCTCACTCACCTGGCACTTCATTCAGCTGCCAAGGGAAGGAGCTGACTCTTGAACAGGACTTCCTCCTAGATCCCATGTGGAGAGTTGGGTGGCTATCTCAACAAAAGGGGAAGAGGCACAACAGCTGCCAGAGCCTCATAACCTTACCCTAGTCAATTCTCCCAGCAATCCTATATGACAGATGAAGATACCAAGGGTCAGAGTGAGGGAGTCACTAACCTGCAGCCCAAACAGCTAGAAAGACCAGAATCCAAAACCAGTTCCTGTTCTCTATAGATGGCGTCCAGCTTGCACACTGTGGTCTTATGTCCACTTTAGGTGACACATGGCCTCAGAAAACAATAAACAGATCAAACTTCCCTGCTCATTTGGAGGGCTGAGGCGGGGGATCTGTCTTGAGCTATAAGGTGTGTGGCTCATCAGGAATGCCTGGCCACATGGAGAAGGCTGATAACACGTGGACTGGAGTCAGAAGCAGGATATTCATGGAGTACCTGGCCATGCATTCACACTGTTCCTCAGTTCAGGACTTGGGTTGGTTTAAGTTCACCCAGATGTCCTTTTACTATTCTCAGGGTCCCACTCCTTCCAGATCAATGCCCTAACTTTCATGTAAGCGATCCGGTGAGGCTGTGAATTCAACTTGTAACTGCGACCTACAGGATGGGATTTAGGATTATGTTTTCAGTTGTATCCATCCTGTGGCTACAAGATATTAAAGATGGTTTTCCGGTTGTCAATAACGTTCTGGCTTTCTGTCTGTGCCTTGGGCTGAGTAGTTAAACATGCTCCTTCTGCTGAATCTCCACCAGGCCACACCAGAGTCTGGGTTTGGCCCCATGACTACAATTGAGGCAGTGGGCATTTGGGCTCCCAGGCTTTGCCTTCAAAGGATACCTCACCCAAGCACTTAAAATAGGTGATACTGTAAGTACTAGTTTTGCCACTTGTCTTGGTCTGTTTTGTGGTGCCACAGCAGAATACCTGGGACTGGTTAACTTACAAAGAACAGAGATAGAGCTTGTGGAGTTCTGGAGGCTGGCAAGTCCAAGGTAAAAGGGCCAACATCTATTGAAGGGCTTCTTGCTGTATCCTAGAGTGGGAAGCACAAGAGCAAGATGAGTGTGCACATGCAAGAGAGGGAGCCAAACTCAGCCTCTGTAAGGAAGTCACTCCTGCAGTGCCTTCATGACTGTCACCTCTCAACACCGTTGCATTTGGGATTGAATCTCCAGCATGGGACCTTGGGGGACACATTTGGACCACAGCACCACTAAATGCTTCCAGCTTCCTGGGGCTCATTTTCCACCTAACAGTGAGGTCATTCTGGGGTTCCAGCTCAGTGGGGGCAGATGAGCAATCCTAAATTCCTGGCTTTGAGGAGCTGTTTCCTAGGAGGTCACTCCAGCTACTAGGAAACAATAGCAGCCAGTGCAGAGTCAGAAAACTGGAGACTGTCCAGGTGCTTCAAACAGAGGATTTAGTGCAGGGGGTTGGTTGAGAAACTGTTGGGAGGAAGACAGGAGAGAGATTACCCTTATATTGATAATACAGGAAGCTGCCTTTCCACTGAGGCTGGAGGGACAGACGGTATCGCCCAAAGCTGTAACCATGGTGTTCCCAGTAGAAACTCACTGCCTAGGTCAAGCCCCGGGAGCACATGTCTGCTGGTCACTGCTGCTGCCACCATGAAATCACCCCCAAATCCAGAAACTCCGAATGACTTCCAATCACCTGCCAGCGGTTCTGCCAGCAGAAATTAATCAGAAGCCCCCTGGCAGGGACGGGGAAAGATGAAGTCTGCAGGCTTGCATCCTCTCTATGACGCAGCAGAGGGAAGTCTGTAGACAAGCAATCAGGACAAGCAGGAATGTCCTTGTCTGCTAGGGATATGGCATGTGACATAATGCCAACCCATTGATACTGAAGATAAAGTATAATAGAGAATGAGAGGCAGGGTGTAGCTCAGTGGTGGAGTGCTTGCCTAGCTTGAGTGAGACCCTAGGTTCCATCCCCCTACAAAAAGAGAGAGATGTTGGCTGGGCACCAGTGGCTCACTTCTGTAATCCTAGCTACTCAGGAAGCAGAGATCAGGAGGATCATGGTTCGAAGCCAGCCTTTGCAAATAGTTTGCGAGACCCTCTCTTGAAAAACCCATCACATAAAAGGGCTAGTAGAGTGGTTCAAGGTGTAGGCCCTGAGTTCAAACCCCAGTACTGCAAAATAAATAAATAAGAGTGATGGTTCCCAAAACCAGGCACTGAGAATGGTTATTAGGAAGATTAGCTGACCCACCCTTAATGCCAACCTGTCATGGATGCAGTGCTAAACAAAGTAAATGCTTTCTTTTCTTGGGAGGAATTTGAGGGTCAAGGGAAACATGCAGGCCATTAAACATGAAGTTGGGTGGGAGATCTGGCTGGTGAGATTTGGTAATTTTCTGAATTAGGGAGCAAGTGAGATTCATGAGGTCAAAAGTGGGGACTGTGAGAGGATTGCTCCTAAAGGTTGTTATTCAGGAGAAACGGTGAGTCACACATTAGATATGGCCAGACCCTGAGGCTGGGCAGATTAAGCATTATCACAGATATTGTGGATCTGGTATCCTCATGTGCTAAAGGCTTGGTCCCACCCTGTTATGCAATTGGAAGATGGAGGAACCTTTAGGAGGTAAGCCCTAGTGGGAGGAAGTGAGCTCACTGGGTGGGGGGCGATGTGTCCTTGAAGGGTGTACTGGGACCCCTGGCCCTTCCTCTTCCTCTCTGCTTCCTGGCTGCCCTGAACTGAGCAGCTTTGTTCTACCACCTGCTTCCATCTGTGATGTGCTGCCTTACCATAGGCCCAAAAGCAACTTGGCCAATCAACTATGGACAGAAATCTCTGAAACTGTGAGCCAAAATAAACTTTACCTCTTTGTAAGTCTATTTTCTCAGGTGTTTTGTCTTAGTGATGGAAAGCTGACTGACACAAGGACAGTCTGGGAGTAGAAATATTTTGCTGCTTTATGTGCTGGCTGAGACAAAAAGTGTGACTAAGTGCCATGGACTAAGTCTGAGAGGCAGATAATCACGCACAGGCCTTCCAAGGGCCTGAAGGGAAAGAGCCCCTCAGAGGGCTAGTGCTGTCCACCCAAGCAGCATCAGTGTGTGCTCAGTGAGGACACAGGGTGACCAAGGCAGATGGGGCCCGCCTTTCAGGGGGTGATGAGAAGGTACCCACACACTAGGAAACTGATGCACACACAGGTAAGGCGCACAACCCCACATGAGGACCGGGAAGGCACTGTTGAAGAAGGGGCTTGTGGGCTGACCTCTGTTAGGGAGCAGCCTTCAGACCCTGTATGATGGTGCTCATGACCTCTGGCCTCATATCCCTCTACTTCCCTCTCTCCACCTGGCCAGCCAGCCTTTTTGCTATTTCTCAGGCCTGCAAAGGCAGCCCCACCTCAGGGCTTCACTCATGTTTCTCACTGTTTTCCCAGAGGCCTTCCTTCCATCTTTCCACCTCCTTTAAGTTTCTATGTCCTCCACTCCTGATTCCCTTACTCTGCTCTATTTTTTTCCAAGCATTGATTTTTTTTCTTACATAATAGATAACTTGTTTATTTTGGCTTGTTGATTGTTATTCATTGTTTATCTCTCCTTGCTAGGATACAGGCTCCATGACAGTAGAAGTTTGTTTTTTGTATGGCTCACTAGAATATCCAGCATCTAGATCAGTGACTGGCACATTGTACTCAAAATTTTTGTTGAATGGAGAAATAGATAAACAGATAGACAGATAGGTGAGTGGATGAACATACAGTTGGATGGATGGGTGTGCAGGTGGGTGGATAGATGGGTGGGTGGGTGAGTGGATGAATGGATAGGTTGGTGGGCAGACATATGGGTGAACAGATGGAAGACAGGTATATGACTAAGTCGGTGAATGGATGGATGGATGGATAAGCGGATTGGCAGATGGGTGAGTGGAATGGTGGGTTGGTAAATGGGTAGATGAATGAATGGATAGATGAGTGGATGGATGGATGGATGGATGGATAGAAGGAGGAAGGAATGGGTGGACAGATGGGTGTATAGATGGGTGGGTGAATAAATGGATGGGTAGGTGGATAGATGAGTGGAAGAATGGGTAGGTGGGTAGGTAGGAGTTGGAAGGATAGAAGGAGGAACAGACAGATGGGTGTATAAGGTGTACGTATCGGTGGCTGGAACAATGAGAGAAAGAGGCTTCTGTACACATGAGAAATGGCCTAGAGGTGAGATAGTCATGGTATCTTTGGGGAACTGAATGAAAATGAGTGAGGCTAGAAGGGAAGGGTCAAATAATGAGACAGGTGGGGCCTGATGATGGAGAGTCATACAGGTGTGGTAGAGGTCATTGGCATTACAGTCTGCACTTCCATTCATAGGACCACAACTGCACTTCCCAGCCACCCTTGCAGCAGGTTGTATACTGAGATCTCAGTTCTGCCCAATGGACATGTGCAGACATGAGGTGGACTCTCTCCAGCTCTCTCTCATTCCACTGCTGAATGCAGTGGGTGATCAGGCCTAGGGGAGGGTGAGTCCATCACTATGAAGAGCACAGACCTCTGAACCACTGCATAGAGAAAAAACAATGATGAACTCTTGCTGTGACTGGTTACATGAGTGAGAAATACATCTCTGTGTTGTTTTACCCACTCCACATGCTGAGGTCTACTTGTTATAACAGATACTGTATTAGCTAATGCCTGGAAGCACACCACTGCCATGACTTCAAACCTAAAATGCATAGCATTGGCTGGGTGGTCAGACAGCAGGAAGCACGGCAATAGTGTAGCGTGGACAGTTGGAGGTTTGTGTGATGCAGGGGCAAAGCGTCTGCTGAAACTGTAGCCTGCAATAACTCGTAGAGCAAAGCAAGGAGACCCCTGATGCTCAAGTGGCAATTAACTGGCTGAGCTGGAATATCAATGTATGTTGGATGATCCTTCAGTTCATAGCAAGACATTGTAACAGAGATGCATCCAAGCAAGATACAACACGCAAACAAAAGAAAGGGGGATCCAGAATTTGGAAAGTGTTGGAAAAGCAAACCACTAAGGAATTCTGTATCAGTCAGCTTCTTGTTTCTATAACAAATACCCAAGACAATTAGCTATACAGAGAAAGGATTTATCTTGGCCTAGGGTTTTAGCGGTTCCAGTCCATGACCAGCAGACCCATTGCTTTTAGGCTTCTGGTCTGGGAATCAGTGGCAACAGTGGGGAATGCATGGCATTTTACAGCCAGGAAGTAAAAGTGAGAGAGGAAGGTCCAGGGTCCCAATGATCTAACATCCTCCCATATGCCCCACCTCTCATTGGTGCCATGGATGGGGACCAAGTCCAAGGGCCTTTGGGGGGCATTCAAGATGCAAACCTCAGCAGACTCCAAATAAATAAAACTGCAAATAATAATAAATAAAACTTAGGCACAAAAGACCCATTAAGACGTTCTCAGTTCTATGGACCAAAGCCTTTTCTCACAGCAAGGATTGAATGCAGACTGTAGTCTTGCTCCACAGCTAACTGTCAAGGTATCCTCAAAGTGAAACAGAACCATGGGTACCGGGAAGCAAAATAATAATGAAACTGGAGTTTTGGACCCAAGGCCCAAACTCCTGAGATCCCATATGTCAGGTACAGCCACCTGTCCCTAATGACAAATAAAGAGGCATGGTAAAGGCAAAGAAAAGTTTATTACACT